GGGTGGGGGGGGGGGGGGGGGGGGGTGGGGGTCTTTTTTTGGCTTCATTCTTTTGTTTTAATTATTTTATATGTAAAATATAAAATTACATTTTTATCCTTTTAAAATTAATTAAATTTGGCCAAACTTTTAATTTTTGGTTAACTAACCGTTAAACTATTAGTTTTCATCCATCTGGACTTCAGCTGCGACATTTTGAAAGATTTGGTACAATGGGTGTCACAAATGAAATATTTGGGCAAAATCTGCTACTTAATGAAAGATTTGATATCGCTATTGTAATTTTTCCTAAAATAATTGAGAATATGTTGTTAAAATTAATATTTAATTTTAATTCTAAATTATAAGGATGATACAACGAAACACAAACAAGCACACTACTCTAGCCAGTAACTTTTTGAAAATGTAAAAATATTTATTTTAATATGAACATATAAATGTTCTATTTTACCCTTTTGTTTTAATGTGATATATGAAAAATCTTTTCTTTTCTTTTTTTTTTAAAAAAAAAAATTAGACGAGATCATTGATTTTTGTTTAAAGAAAGATTTATTTTCTGGACTAAGCTATTACATCTCAATAATTTTAAAAAATAAATTGGTGAAAAGAAAATAACTAAATTGAAATTTTGGATATAGAATGGTAAATAAACAAAATTTGAAATATGAGAACTTATACTTTGCTGCAATTTTGGTATTATAATATGAAAACTATTTTTCTAAATTTAATATGATATAAATATTACAAATATTGAAAATTAAAAACGAAGAACAATGTCCTGCAAATAAAGCGATATAATCACATAAATAATATAAAAAAAAAATATCATCATTTTTTAGACTAAATACATTAAACAACACTTAGCATAATGGACGAGAAAAAAGAAGAGACAAAAATTTACTTTATAGCATTTCACAATAAGTGTTTGGTGGGGATTAAAATTTGATTTTTAATGTATTGTGATAGAAGTTTTTGAAATGTGTGGTTGAAAAGATGTGAGACCCATAAAAGATGTGGTTAATATTGATTGTTTAACTTTAACTTAGATTAAAATCAGATTTTAATCCGATCCAAACAGACCCTTGGAATGAATCTATTTCAATTTCATATAACTAAAACTTGGACTTTTAATTTAGACTAATAGTAAGCGCGTGTGGTATGTCTTATGTATAGAATCAATAATATGCGTAATATTTTTGAAGTGTTAATAATGGTTTTAAAAGTAGTTGAAGTAATTGATATTGTTTAGGAAAAATTAAAACTGTTAAAAAGAATATATATGAATAAAACTTTTTATTAAATTATGTATATAATGTGAAAATGTTGTTGAAATGTAATGTTTTGACTACAATAATATTACTTCGTACACAATATTTTTTTGTCAACGTCCCATGGCTTTTCTTCTTTTACCAATGTTTTTATTGTTTGCATCAAAACTCTGCGAGAAAATACGACATTTAGTTGTCCATGAGAAATACATATTCAAGAATGTATACTTCAATAGTAGGCATTGTTTGTCCTTGAACCTTAATAATGATTATTGCAAATTATAGCCGTGTTGAAAATTATTTCCTTTTGAATTCGAATGGTTATTATTCATCATTGTTGGAGTTAATGGAATGTGCGGAAGAATAACTTATTTTTCAGTACGTTGTCCAATGATTACTTCTACATGGATAATATGTCACTTGAAATAATGACAAATCATTATTGTTCCATTGCAAAGATCTTCGGACGGGTTCAGATTTCTTAAAAGCATCACTAGACAATCTTTTCAAGATTAACTTAAGTGGTAGGATATTATTTAACAATAATGTATTTATAAACTCTTCTTGATAAAATTAGTTTGTATCATCTATTACTTTGTTGAAGCTGATAAATTCTTCAATTTCTTTAGGAAATAATCCAATTAATCTGTATACTCATTTTTTGTTGAAAGAATTTCAAGTTGTGTATATAATCAGAAGAAGTTGCATTTTCTGTTAAACCTTGGAGCAATGCATTAATTAAGTTCTGTAGATCCGAAATAACATTCTATAAATTCTCTATACAAAAGCTTTCTTGATGTGGCATATTTTTTAACATTTCAAAATACTCCGTTGACATTGTTCTTGTGACGTGATCCGAATGAACAACCTGGACTAAGTTTTGTCGATCCGAATATGAAACAAATTAT